TTACTTAGAGAAGTTCAACTAAATAACACTTCATTTTTGTAATCGAAATGAATTCATTACTGTTGTGAAATGAAATAAAAATTTTCGTTTTCAAATATAAAACAAAAAAATTCTTCATCTTTTAATCACCAAACGAAATGTTATATAAAAGCCTTCTGGTGGCGAAACGGAGTTCGCCAGGTTTACTAGTTAAGTATATATTAGGAGAGACGAAACCTCTTAGCATCCAATGGATTTACCGTGCGGACGCCGGATCTATCGCGTTGCAGGGAGAGAAGCTTTAACAGTGCCTGGGACTTCCGACCCAGCTGTAGGTTTATGCGGCCCCTATCTAACGCCAAGTACCCAGCTCGAAAATACGTAATAAGAACAAAACTACTATTATCTTTTTGTTTACAGTTTTCTACAATCGCGAAATAAAGATACAACAGGATGAGCTCGGTATTCGTTATGTTATTTTGGTGATGGTAAGATATTAATTTTTTTGATATTGTGTAAGTTCATAATTTCGTTTCAATTTTTTCTAGTAAATGAATAAAAAGCACGCAGTGCCTAATAAAGCGAAATTAGTATGTGCCACAAGTCTTATACAAATTTGGACTCCGCTATCTTAGGTTCTCTCATATTAGCAAAGCATAATAACTACATATTTCAATACAAAATTATAACTTAATGGACTTGTTAAACGTTAATTTGGAATTGGTCACCTCCGACTAGAAATATATATGTATATAACAGCTGACCCGCAGACTTCGTACTACCTCAATCGATAAATAAATAATTTTTAATTTGTTTTTTTAGAGTTTACCTATAAGCCACAAATCTCACAAGCCACAAATGATTGACGTATTAGTTAGTTGTCAAGTCTAATGAAAAAAAAAAACGATTTAATTTTTTCGCTCCTTTTATGGGTTTAAGATAAATAAAAACAATCCATTAATTATTATTGTTTTACAGGTATTGGGGGTGGTGCTCGACTTTTTTCTTCGTTTTATAATTCCAGCGACAAGTGAGTCACTGGAGGAAACTATTAGAAAAGAAAAGCGCATTAAAGAGAAATATTTAATACGCAAAGGAATTGCTAACTAGTTAAAATGTTAAAGTAATAGTTTTTGGTTAACTAAATTATTTATACTCAAAACTGTGTGTTTATCCGTTATGTAAATGAAGTGTTTCATAAAAATATATTGTGGGATAAATTAAAGATTGATCTTATATAAGATTTGTTTCTGCGTTATTACTGTTATTATTTGGTTTTCAGTTTTATTTCAAAGTGTACATGTTTGTCAAATTATTATGCAGGCTTCAACATTTCTTATAGTTTCAGGACGTCAATAATTTTATGAGATATACTCGTCTGACGACTCGTATGACTTTCAAAAATTATAATCAATCACCACTGTAGACTTTCTATTGTCAATCGTAAATGAAATACCTAAGCTTTTTAAGCGTGCACATAATAATATAAGTTCCTTGGAAAATTGTTAACGATATCATTTAGTAACAAGTCTATACCAAAATATCGCCAGGTTCTTGTCTTTTTTAAACGACTATAAATAATTCTAAAGTTATTGAATTATTCTTATTGAGATATTTTTATTGAGGCTTAACAAATTGGAAAGACCTGACGATAGTATATTTCTTGGAACGAAGACAGTCTTAAATTAATATTGCTTAAATCACAAGGTTTTAAAACTGAATTCTTGAAATATCATTTTAATGTCTAACACATGGGATGTGTATATGTGGGTAACACTGAAGATGGTAAGAACGGGCCAGTTAGAAACTTTGTTAATGAAAACAGTTTTTTAATTTCAATTTTAGAATTCTTTTGTAACCTAATGAAGTATATTCCATTCACTTGTGTTTTTTTGTGAATTAGCGGCAAATCTAAAACTCTTGTTACACATGAAAATGTACCTAACGTGAGAAAATTTTCGGTTAATGATTTGTTATGACTTTCAATGTGAGCTTACTCAACAACAAGGCTATTGACGCAGGTTGTGTACCGGCGCAGGCGCAGAAATTGCAAACAATAGAAAAGGAGACACATTTTGTTATTTTTTTATAGAAGTGGCACGTTTGTACTTGCGTGTTGTTTTATACAATCATGGGGAATTAAATTAGGTTAGAAAGTTTAGTTCGTTAGCTAATAAGTATGCTAAAGTTTGATACAATAAAATAAAATGGAATAAGAGTGGAACGGATTGGATTTTATTTTGTTTTCTTAGATTTAAAGAAATGCTTTATTAAAGAAATGCTTTATTCCCAAAAAATGTGACCTTCAATAAAATTACTAAAATCCTAAAAAAGGAATGATTTGTCAATAGGGAGCACGGTTTGAGATGTACATAGTAAAATATGTTTTGTTTTCAAGATAAATCTGAGAATTTATTGTTTATTATTTGTTTTTTATTAGTTTAGATGTGACCATATTTTCTCAATTTAATCAATGCATGCAATTCTTTATTCAGGATTTCTTTATGTTACAAAGCAGAGCACTTTTATTATACAGGGTTAGTGAGCTTCCTACATATCAAGGCCATATGACCTTGTATGTATATATAGGTATAGAGCAGTTATTCCCAAAGTGGTCCAGGTGGACCCTCAGAGGTCCACGATAGACTTGCTGGGGGTCTACGTAAACGTGAACAAAAATTTTGGGTCCATTAGATGATAATGGGGGTCCACAAAAATTTATTTGCTTTTGATAGTAGTGAGCAAAAATGTAAGCATAGTTTTTATAAGGGCCTACCTACATTGTTTTAAGTACCTAACTAAGCAAATAATATTTTAAAGAGGCTTTTAATTTTAATAAGGTTAAACTTGCGTATTTGATATTAAGTACAATTTCGAGTACAGAATTGTAAAGCGCTATCCGTTCGACAATGCTTAATGCTTGTTCAAACATGAACTATACTATTTGCGCTGTAGCATGGTGCGGGTGACAGTTTCAGTAACGTTTCGTTTCACTCTTGAAAGTTGCCGCGATTTACAAATTATGACTTAGTATTTCAGCTGTACCACATTCGTAATAAATTAAATCATTAATTACTGAAGTAGTTTAAATTAAACCAAACCAGAATGTTCTAGTGTACAAATATAATCTAATGGAAAGAAAAATTAAGCAAAGTATTATGCGTTTAACGTAATGCCATAGACGTATTTAGTGATGGGATGTACTGCTACAATGGATAGTCGATGTTAATGGTAGGGTGCGTTGTCCATTATTATGGTCATAGGTTCTTTTAAATTATTTAATAGACCTATGAACCAATCTTTAAATTTTTCGTAGTTCATCATTCATTCAAAAAATCATAAACCCGATTTTAATTATTTTATATAAGTACTATATTATTTATACTGCGAGTATCGTTAGTGATAAAAATGAATTACGCAACATCACTAGTCATATGGTACTGACAGATATCAACGTCATTTAGGCAAATGTCACCCGCACCAAGCTACAGCGCAAATAGTATAGATCATCATCAAATACTTGAAGTTTGGAGGAAAAAGTGTGAGAAAAGGGCACAGCCGGATAAGTATGGGAAATCTGCCCTCATTGCTTTTTTGATCAACACTTAGGGGATCGAGTTTTCATCAAATAAAAATAATTCACACCAATTTGCAGTCTTTTAACTCGAACGACGTTCGAGATTTAAAAGAAAAAACTTTTTTTTTATTTTTATTTTTATACTGAAATTCGGAGTTAATAAATGGTGATTTTTGTTCTTATTCTTAGGAGTCTAAAACATAAAAAAATCGTATGATGATCATTTTTCTTGTTTTTTTCTGGTTTTTGAAAACTTGTTTTTTAGGGTTTTTGAAATATGTCAATCACCAAAATTTGTCAGAATAGGTATTTTACATCCCTCGACACTGGAATTTTTTCAGATTTTTTGAATTGGTGGAACAATGTAAAAAATATTAAAAACTCATTTTTTTTCTAAAGTACGTCGTTTTAAAGCACTTTTACTTTTATTTTTTTGCTTGAAAAAATGCGTAGAATCTAGTATTAATTAATCTATCACCATCATGTCTGTGTCCACATCGCAGGACGTCGTTACACTGTAAACTCATTCTGCCCGCTTCCAGAGCGGTATGCTAGAAAGTTAAGAAATCGGTCTGGTTAGACGATATTATATAAACAGACCACCTGACAGACATTCACATTTCGCTTGTCCGTAATAACGGTTGCTGAAAAGTAACCTAAACGTCGGGAGTATGAAGTTTGAAAAAAAATTACGCGTATTATTAATAATCCGAAAAATTTTAGTTTCATTTCAAATGGGTAGTTTATGTGGGTTTATCTGTGCCATTTTCCAACTTTGCACAGGGAGAATGTTTCGAATACCCCCATAAAGTATACCCATAAAACGATATTCCATCCTTAAACAAACTCGTTTCTTAACAGATTGTTCCAATTTATCGTAATACAACATTTAATTTATGTCCATTTTTTGCATAAACAGTTTAACCTAATAAATGCCCACATAATGCGAAATGTATATCGAGATTTTATTCTTTTCACATAAATAAACTTCAGATGTTTTAAAATAATTATTTTAAGTAAAAAGATAGATATTTTTAAACATCTAACGTGTATTTTATATTATTACATCGAGGAGCAAATATGGTTAGCAAGTCTCACAGAATTTTTTTTTGTAAATATTTTTACTGGTCTGGATACGAGTCCCTTTGAGCCTTCTCACTGACATGATACCATTGCATGATTGGAAAAATCTTTAAATACCTCAAAAACAAAAAAAAACTACATTTAAAACAGAAATTTAAAACAGAAATGATACATAGTTGGCTTCCAATTTTAACTGACACTTGTAAAATCTGACAATTATTTCTAAAAGACTTGTTTCAAGTGACATAATATATTTAAAAAAAACCTTATGTCAATTTGATATCCTTCAAATTGAAATAGCACGTGTAGTGTGGTAGAAATAAAGAAATATTTTGATATTTTTATATTACTAGTAATCAAAATGGGCAAAGCAAAAAAATGTAAACCCTCTGAAATAGGTCGGAATATAGCCCTTGCTGATCAGATTGAGGCTACAAATGCTGTAAAGAATAAAAATAGAAATAAGGAGAGGAATAGAATTGATGATGATGATGATGTACGTACAAATAAATGGTAAACGTATATGTTCATATAGTTTTCAATAATCTAACATGTTTATATTTAGTTCGTTAATGCAGACCTTTCAAAGAAAATCCTTAAAGCTGCTAGAAAGCAGCAAAATGAGCTTACTGTTGGAGTCGCTTCTGTATCTGGTTTCCTGACTTCACCAATCATCAATGGTAACTACATTTTATTAAAATATTGTCTATAAACACTTTATGAGCAAATATTAATTAATTATTTTATACAGATTCCACATCTGATCCAGAAGATGGCTCAGACAAGGACGATTTGGAGCCAGATACCTTTTATGATAACATTGAAATTAATGAGGATGATGAAGAAGCTTTAAAAATGTTCATGAATGCTAAGCCAGGGAAAACCAGGACACTTGCAGATATAATAAAAGATAAAATAACAGATAAACAAACTGAAATCCTTACACAGTTTTCTGATGTTGAAACTTTAAAATTGCAAAATATTGATCCAAGGTATTTCAATAAATAACTTTCATGTTTTATTTGTTTTACATTTTATACTATGTTAAATTTATAATTTCTAGGATTAAGTCAATGTATGAAGGTGTCAGGGATGTTTTGAAAAAGTATAGATCAGGAAAGCTACCAAAAGCTTTTAAGATGATACCACATTTACAAAATTGGGAACAAATACTTTATATAACTGAACCCACAACTTGGTCTGCAGCGGCTATGTATCAAGTATGAAATGAAACATATTTTACTTAGATTTTGTTAACTCGGCGGGAAGCGCACCCCATATACCAAAACTGACTGTCGCTACTGGGTAAAAAGTACCACAATAATAATAATGTAAGAACTTGAGTTATTTTACGGATAATTAAATATGACCAATTTTTATATTATAGTGTGTTACATTTTCAATTAAACAAGACAGTTGGAAATTAATAAACACTTGGTATAATATGTAATATTTGAAATTTTAAAACATAGTCCAAAAGCTCAGCCATTTTGTGCACAAAACGAAATATTTACTAGTGTGGCTGGAGGGCTCTTTCCTGTTGTTTATTCGGAATATTATTATTTTGCTCGCCATTACCACCAAGTAAAAGTATTATTTTACTTTTCATAAATGTATGTAGGCAGGTTTAAGATGGTAGATTTACACTTATTTTGTGGCAATCCAAGAGACAACACCTTCAAGTAATCTCTTCTAGGTCTCTTTTGTCACGATTTTCTTTATTAGTCGAACCGTTGAACATCTGTCGAAATACTTTTCTAAAACGGCGCTGCACACAATTACTTACAAAAATAAATATTTTCAAAAGTATGCACTATGTGGTAAATTTTACCCGGTAGGGCCTCCCGCCGAGTTAACTACATTAATATTCTATTCAGAAACCTAAATATAATTCATGATTATATGTTTACACAAAAGTCATAAAATGTTTAGAGTTAATGATTTTAACTGTTTTATAAAGCTTAAACTTTATAAATTTCAGGCCACAAGAATTTTTGCATCAAATTTAAAAGAAAAGATGGCTCAGAGGTTCTACAATTTAGTTCTTTTGCCAAGAATTAGAGATGACCTTGCAGAATATAAAAGATTAAATTTCCATTTATACCAGGCTCTTAGAAAAGCATTATTCAAACCTGGTGCATTCATGAAAGGAATATTATTGCCTCTTTTGGAAGTGAGTACCTATATAAATATAAAAAGTTGAATACAGATAAATACTGTCCACATTACTTTTAAATTAAATTATTAAATTCTTATATTCACATTAATTTTAATTTTATAGGCTGGTGATTGCACTTTAAGGGAGGCTATAATAGTGGGTTCAGTATTGGCTCGGAATTCAGTACCAGTCCTTCATTCAAGTGCAGCCTTATTAAAAATAGCTGAAATGGAATATACTGGAGCAAACTCAATATTTTTAAGGATTTTGTTTGATAAGAAATATGCACTGCCATACAGAGTAGTGGATTCTGTGGTGTTTCACTTTTTAAGGTATTTGAAAATAAAAAGCAAACATTTTGTTGTCATTAATTTGGTATCAAAGATACATTTCAATATATTTAGTAGATTATTTTAATTATTTGTGTCTTTTCCAAGTATGGTTTATAATATTTATACATATTTTGAAGGAATTTCAAATAAAAAATGTTATATATGAGTTATAAGATTCGAGACTCTTTTTGAAAATTTATTATTATGTCAGCATAACTATTCTTTTTTCTTACTTTTATTTAAGGTTCCACAATGAAACAAGGTTGTTACCTGTACTCTGGCATCAAGCTTTTTTAACTTTTGTCCAGCGCTATAAGGCAGATATATCTACAGAACAAAGAGATGCTCTTTTGGAATTACTGAAGAAACAGACACATTCAACAATAACCCCAGAAGTAATAATCATCGTTTGGGATTATAATTTTGAATTAACAAAAAAAAAAAATTGTGTTGTTATTTATTTAACTAAATGTTTGTTATTTGTGTATAAATATATGCTAAGTAACTTTTGACATGGGGAATATGCAAATATTTTTATAATTTCAGATCCGTCGTGAGTTACAAGCTGCTACATGTCGAGATATTGAAGGAAATGAAAATGCAAGTAATATGATGTCTGTAGAATGAAAAATTGGACATCCTATGGTTTGATTGTTACTGATAATATTTAAATCATCTGAATAAGATATAAATTGTATATGAATTTATTTTTTCTTTCATTCATAACCCTATACAATTTTACTGTAATTGAATGCATAATGTATAGAAATATTATTTGAAAATAAAACAGAATTTTTGATCCTTTTTAAAAACCAATATGAAATCTGAACTTTTATTCTTTGCCTAGAAATCATATTTTAAATGATTACTTATGACTTGCAGCCTAAAAGAGAATTACAGGTCTTTTTTATCTATAAATTTAAAATAGAATAAGGTGGTACTGAACCCTATTGGCTTTGATAATGTCATTTAGGAATTTTGGGTACTTTGTCACTGTCTTTAGAGATAGTTGCGTGGGATGTTAGCTATGAAGGAGTGACTTAGCCATACTTTTATGAAAAAGGGTATCAAATCAGCCTCATAAGTTTATCAACATGCCAGACTTAGTGGTTAGGCCCTTTCTCAAGTATATGTTCTTTTACCAAGAATGGTGCTTTCAGCAACATTGATACTTGCTCATTAAATTTAATCTTTGTTAGACACAGGTTGATCTGAGCTGAAGACTCCATCATGTAGTCCTGTTTTCAATTGACTGGATTATAATTGATTGCAAATTTTAGTGAACAAGTCTGGCTTTCAACACCATGAAAATTAAAGTTTCTGAAACAATCCACATAATTGGCAATAAAAAAATCCATAAAAACAAAGCATGCTGTTATGTATAACCCCCATCAACAATTAAAGGACTACTTAACAGGCAATTGATACCATTTTTTAAGAATGTAAAGAAATACTATACTGAAATAGTTATGTATGTTATATACAAATAAAAAAATATATCTTTCTGTTAGTAATAAAGTTTCTGGAAAGATTTGCTTAAAATAATATAATAAAGTTAAGAAAGTTGTGCCAGAATCCGGAGTTTCATTAAGGAAAGGTTTTGAATATCGTCTCCCACAAGTTAAAGCAAAGTAACTGTTTTTCTTAGTATTATTTATTTGAATTATATTTCATATTTCACTATTGTAACTTAAGAATCAAAAGTTTCCAACCATTATCAGTTGGTTTATAGAACAATTTATGTTATTAGCAAAAGGCTTAGTAAATATTGAATATTTTTGTTTCAAAAACATCATATAAAAGTAATAATTAATTTACATTAAAAAATTCATTTACTTCGATTACTTCTTTAAATTCTTTAGGAATCTAATCAATTATCTTAACTAAATACATTTACTTCTCCCTATAAATGAAAAATGTGTGCTTGAATCTATATAGCATTATATTAATGTTCTAGATATAATATTATGGGATTATAAAACAAGCATTTATAATTTAATCGTCACATGTAAAAACATTTTATTTTGGTAACCTGTTTATACAAATTAACGAATAGTAAAATATATTAATCCTATATTTACACTAAATAACAATCATATGAACATAAATATATGACTAAATAATGAGAGTAGTAAAGATATTTCTTTTACAAAAATAAGAACTCTCATCTCGCTTCTGAAATGATAGCTATCGTTGGTATCAAGGTTATTTAATATTTTTAGACAAATTTAGTGTTATAGGAATATCCACCTGACTTGATATGAAATGAACGGGTGGCAAGACCGAATTTCCACATTCACATTTTCTTCCAGAAACAAAATCAAACGTCCCAACTTTACAACCACAATTTTCACAATATAATTTGCCTCTAGTCCATCGTTCTTCCTCTATTTTAAGCCGTATCCATTTAGGTAAATTGTCCTCGTGAAGAAAAGCAAAACTTTTAGAACTATAGCTGCTACATTTTTGGTCACCGCACAATGCTGAATTGTGTACACAGCCAAAATCTGAGAGCAATATATTCCGACACTTATGACACTTAATGTTCTCTATATTCGGCATTTTGTAATAATAGGGAGAAACCTGACGATAGGGGTACTAATTATTTTGATGTTTACTTTGATCAAAACATGTGATAATCTTTTGATTTAAGAGAGTGACAAATTGACAACGGAATATTGTTGTATATCGATAGTCCACTATCGATAGGATATCGATATTAAATCGATAGTATAGGCAACGCCGATAGTTACTTCTTCTTCTACCTGGCAATTTCCCAGCTAAAGCCAGGGTCTGCCTTACATGTTGTGAATAGTTTTGGCTATTTGTTTTTACGACCGGCCGCCTGCCTGACATCAACCCTCTTTTTGGGAATCAACATTAATCAGTGATGTCAAAATAGTCTCAGAAAGTACATACGACTCGGACAAATCACATTGGTACTTGCCCGGGCCACCTCTGACTTTACAACGCAAGGCAACGCCGATAGTTACTACAATTATTATATATTTATAGCTAGTATCGGCACATGGTAATACTATCGATAGTCTCAATGACACTTCTTAAACATACTATTGAAAGTGGTAATACTATCGATACTATCGATATTTATACCTTCAATACTATCGATAGTATCGGTAGTATTGTAAAATTTGCTGTTCAAACCCAACCCAACTGTTTGTTTTTATAGTGATAGAGGCAAAATAATATATTCTATCGGTATAAATAAAATGAAAGGTTGAAACATTCTAATAAGAATAAAATAAAGCGTGGGAAAAACTATTGTCACTTCTCTTGCGCGTTTCAGTTTAAGCTGTGTTTCCTTACTGAGACATTCTGTTACAGGTTTTGGATGGAGTACTTACAGAGTGGCATTGTCGAAATAAAGTCGTAGCTATGGTTACCGAGAACACTCAATTATAAAAGTAGCAGAGATTTTGAAAATACGATATGTCCCTTGCTTTCGCACTCATTCAATTTAGCGGTTAAGGAAATTCTTGATCAACCTGGGCTTAAACAGCTGGTCGATAAATGTTCGGCAGGGTCGCGAGGCAAGCTTTTGGTATACCGTGGCCCTGCCTAGGTGGCGTGGATGAGAAACACCCAGGGGTTTTAGTGGGTCGAAACCCCACATAACCCGGTCAAGTCCCCGCTCGGCCGGGTATCTGTGAACAGATTTCCCCTGGGAAAACAAAAAAAAAAAAAAAATGGTCGATAAATGTAACAACTTTGTTAGTCATTTCATATACAGCAGCATAGTAGCACCAGATAAGTTACGGTCTGCCCAAAGACAAATAAATAAACCAGAACTTAAATTAGTTAAGTTTGCCGAAACTAAGTGGAATTTTGTATTTTACATGCTAAACCGAATATTAAAAGTAAGACAAGAACTGACGTTGGTATTAAGTGACCTTCCAGATGCACCCGAAAATCTTACTACTGTAGAATATATAGAAGTTGAAGAAATAACCACTCGAGACCTGTAGGTACCTACTGTTAATATATCTGGTGAAGAATATATGACAATATCGTTACTACTATCATTACTACTATCGTTACTACTACTAATACTAATAAAAGGACTATGTTTGAAATTGGTAGAATTAGAAAATTGTAGCATTTCAAACTTTTCTCAAAAAATAATTGCGTCTATGAAAGCTTCAATACAAAAACATTTACATTTTATGAGTCACGAAGTCCATGTATGATTTCCACACTTCTCAATCCTAATTTCAAGAGACTTGAATTTAAAACCCAATATGACGCGGAAACCGCCATTTCAATCGTTAAGAATGAACACAATTCCTATATAGTCTCCTTGACACCTCGAACTTCATCGTCTGGAAACATACATATGTGAAGCATGTGAAGAAAAAGAAAATCCCCCGGCTCAACAGCTAACTGTTGTTCTGGCTTTGTTACTGTAGATGTTATTATAGTAGACATGCGACAATATTTAGAAAAACCAACATTGCCTCTCTCTGAAGACGCAACTAAATACTGGTGCCAACAAGACAACCATTTGAAACACAGCTCAGAAGTACTTATGCATTCCTAGGTACTCAAATCCTGCGAAAAGGCTCTTTTCTTAAGCTGGGCTTATTATCACCGACCGCCGAAATCGTCTAGGTTCAAAGCATATTAAGTATTTATAAAAATATATGAAAAATAGTTTTCAATTATACATATATATATAGTTGAATTATTAATTATATTTCTTTTTTGCCTACATATTGATTAATATTCTTATTTTTAAAAATCTTACTTCGTCTACAATTAAAAATAAATAAATTATCATTCAGTATCGTATTTTATTTCACATGAGTGAGAACCTTTGGTTTCTTTTAAGAATGTTAGTATTTTGGCAAAAGTACCCGCACGAAGACAAGGTTGAATATGATTCTATACAATACAATACTTTAGCCACTAGTTCTCAAAACAAAAGATTCCTTATATCTTTTTTGTCAACATTTTCCCCAATAATCTTGCATCTTCACAAAGTGACGTGGAACTTTTTAACTCATTTTCTAGCTCCTCACTAGAGTGTTCACACTTCGGTTTCTTTTTAGGCAGCAACAGCGATTGAGGTAAATCATGGTTCGATATTGACTATCCATAGCAACATTCGGAGAATAAGAGCGTTTTCTCTCTAAAATTGAAATTACATGGAAATCACATTTTCCTGTTTAATGAAATATGTTTTACACCTAAAACGTGCTATTGATTAATAGATTTTCTAAAATATAAATAAAGGGTATAAATGGATATCTGTGGCTAGCACGCAGAGCCCGTTGGGGCTGATCGACTAACAGAAAAATATTTTCAATGAGGGTCACGATTTTGGAATGAAATATTAAACCATTTTAAAAATAAATTTATATATTTAGTTATGGATTTATATGTATAACTAAGAATAATATATTTACTCGCCTATTTGATTCATAATTGAAACAATCCGACTGCAACTTTAACGAAATTTATTAATAACCACTATTAAAAATGATTACTTCAGGCAGACTCTGGCTAAAGCTGGGAAATTGCCAGGAAGAAGAAGAAGATTAAAAATGATTACTACTCGTATCTATTACTTTTCTTTTATACATGACTTTTAATTTACTTGTAATACT